ACATTATACAAAAATTAGATTTTTCTTAAAAATTGAAATTTTGCCGGGAATGGGGCTTTAAGATAAAAAGTAGTATGCAGTACATAAAAAAAGGACTTTGAACTGATAACAGTAAAAATAAAAATCCTTCAAAATACAGCCACCAAAATATTGTTTTTTAAACAAAACATTATTATGTGCCATCACCTGCTCAATAGAATACTCCTTGCCGGCGACCTCTGCGACCTTTGAAATCTTCTCAATGTGTTCTTGAAGATTCATTTCCAGACATTTTTTGAATGTCAATGATGCCTTTGGTAGAATCTTAAAGCCAAGCTCTGCGGACAATAGTTCCCAATGTCTGCTGCGCATTCCGGGATTACGCAGACCCTGGATCAGGGGAATAAATGGCTTGAAGTCATCTATGTCACTTCGGACCTTCTCAGCTATCAACTGAACCGCTAAAATGCATAAAAAAAAGATAAATACAAATAAAGTGTTGTGGCCTTTAGTATTTTCAAAGCAGCAGCAATATCATTTGTTGGATGATAGAAGATAAATACAGAAGACTACTTTACCAGGTATATCCTTGAAGATTTTCACACATTTGTGCATTGTTTTGAAGGCATCCATCACCTGTTTCTCACACTGTTCAGAGTCAATGCTTGTGATTGGATCATTCATCCAGCTGTCGTACCACTTCTGCCAATCAGAGGCTGTCATCCATAGGTTTTTGAATGGCTCAAAGTCTTTGATAAGCTTGGCTAACTTATCATACTGTACATAAATTGTAGTGAGAAATGTTAAACAATAACAATGATAATTGTTCTACATTATAACACCTTCAGAAATTCTTGTGCAAGTGTAACCTTTCAACTTTCAACAGTAAATAAAATGTAGTGATGACATGAGAGGGCAGCAAACCTTCCCCAATGTTTAATATACTACTATCTATCTGGACAACAACAGAAGTTTAACAAGGGTAAAAAACTTACATTAGTTGGAGGCATCTCAAAGAGCCTTTCTCTGTTGTTGTACATAGTTGACAAGCCCTGGCACTCCTTTAGCTGTTTGTTCAGTCTGCGGACCTCATTGGCTATTTCGTGTGACCTTTCAAGGTCAGTATGTGCAGCAAATCCAGCAACGACCATCTATTACATTGAAAATCTCATACCATGTCATATATGTTTGACGTATTAGAATATTAGAAAATAATGGTAGATATTTAGCAATATTATCATCTATGTTAGTATACTGTAATTATGAAACTTCCAATTAATTATGATTAATTATTATAATTATGATCTAAATTTGATCTAAATTGATGATAAAAACATTGAAAGTAATAATGACAATATTTATATGATCATTAAAATCAACTACAAATGTTTAAGAGACAAACATATTTTCTTACAGCTGGAATATGCAAAGTAGTATCATTTGCTATAACTACACATGAATTAATAATTAAAATAATTATTATCCATAACAGATCAGTTTGAATGCTATTAATAGTATTATATGATTTGCTATGGTTACTACTAAGGTAAATATGTATAATGTATGACTATGAAAGTGGTTTGGCATTATCTAAAAATATGATTCTCCTAAACTCTTGAAATATGAAGATATATAAAAATAAATGCCATATGTAATGCGGGAACTATGCAAATGATGCCTCTTTCCGGTATGATGCATGAACCATCACCAAGTGAGTGAGCAGCAACAATATCCATTCTATGTGCACATACACAAATAGTCTGCGTGCCGCTCTGCGTGCGCAGAAAGTGCATGTTCACATAGAAAACACTAGCTTCGACTTAATGATTTCAAACTGAAACCATACGTATTTCAACAACCCTTGTAAGACTTACACATAAAAAGAATTTTACAGAAAGAAGATTTGACAAAGGTCCATAAATTTAATTGTAAATTTGGATTTTTGTAACATTATAAAAACCATTAAAATCAAATTATAAACAATAGGAAAAAATCTGATAATTGGATGTAACAAAAACAATGCTTTCAAATAATTTATAGATCAGTTTTACATTTTATAAAAAGTATGAGGATTAAAAACTTGATAATCTAAATGGATATTGCTTTTATAATATCAAGTTATTAATGATATTAAATGATATTAAGCTGAGTTATCTTTTATTACATCATGCAGTAATTTGTGGGTAAATAAGATATTAATATTCCCATTTCATATTTATATAATTATATGATTTGCTATTTATACAAATAATTTATGATTAATATATGAATAAATGTATTTGAGTCATGGCCGGCGGAACCGGGGGGGGGG